CGTGTGGCAATCTGGTCCAGGATGCTTGGGAGACTTTAGCTACAACATGCTTGACTCAGCAGACGTGCGTCCCAAGATGTCAAACACTCACGACGGATTATGCGCAAAGTTCTGGAAGAACGTCTGGCAAGTTGCCCCTGAGTAGAACTTAGGAGTCACTGCTTCCACGCGCACTGAACGCTATTGCCTGTATCTTTATCATGGGATGTCTCTGTACAAGGTTCTCTGTGTTTGAATTTCTTCCGCAAGGCGGATTCCGTCCTTAGCACGTACTTCACTCAATGCACCGTCTCAGTCGTTCGTCCGAATGCAGTCCTCTTTACGGACTCAGGGCTTTTCTTCTTGGTCCCAACATTGGTGCGTGGCTGGAGTCCTTGCAGCCGCACGACGACAACAAAATAATTGCTGGTACTTCTGGCATCACAATGTCTATCCCAGCAGATAAGAACAGCCCTAAACCTGAAAACCCCAGATGGCAAAAACCAACCTTCCGAGGCGCCCTGTGGCTTTATTTCAGAAAGGACCGGACTTGTAGCGCATACGATGTAGGTGAGATTTCAGGTGTCAGCCTTGTAGGGGAAATGAGTGTGTGGCAGTATTGCTTTGGATATGTCCCATTAACTACACAGATCTTTCGGTGCTTTTCGGGTTCTATGCATAGACAGGCAGGCTCCTCCACAAATCTCGTGTCAACTGAGTGCAATTCCAGAGCCTCAACAGGCCCTAAGGCTGTGACTTCTTCCAGTCTCTATGTTCATGTTTGTAAAGTCAGACAGAAGCAATGAGACCTTGATTCCAACAACAAACAATGATCATGTGACGGTTGGTGGCGGTCGTGGTGGTCGTCGTGTCAGTTTCGGTAGCGGTTGTGGCGGTTGTGGCATCGGCGGCGTTGTGGTGGCTGTGGTCGTGGAGGAGTTTGTCATCACGGTGGTGGTGGCGGTGGCGTTGGTGGCGGTGGTGGCAGTGGTTGCGTGGCGTGGCCATCCTTATGGCAGCCGCCGCCTTGTCTTAGCACTCGCGCTTGTGAGGGGATCGCTAGGAGGGTCGGGGTGCGTGGCAAGCATACACACATCCTCCAAAAGCCATAGAACAGCAATGCTGACTCCAGTTATCCGTATTTTTCACCTGCTTGCGAAGTCCCCCCGACTCTCCAAGCAGCAGCCGCAGACGCAGAAGAAAAGGGAAGACTTGGAATGCTCGAAGGACCTCATCTTCACTGCTGCTGATGTGCAGGAGGCCTCGCGCCCCGGAAGCCTTCGGAGATTTCGTTGAAAACAAGATTTGCAGTTTTGCGATTCTTCCTGAGAGGTTTTGGGAGGTTGGAACCTGTTGGAACTCGGTTGTTGTAGATGAAGTTTAGTGCCTGAAGTCTTTATGGCCAGAGTTTTTGACTCTAGCTTCATGCCGAGGAGTTTCCAAATCTTTGAGTCTGGCTCTGTCATACTTCGAGGAAGGGCTACTCGAAGCCTTATAATTTTCTGATGTACCATTCTCATCGGCACCACGTGGGTTCAGAAATGGCGCATGATTCGGTGACGATGATTCCAGATCTCTAGAAGCATCCCGATCCTAAGAGTCAAGTGTCGCCAACCCATTCTGAACGAAGCCCTGAGAAGGGGAGAACAGAGTCAACTCTACAACCTTTAACTCCTTAAGCTGCCAAGTCCCATCTCATGAAGCTTGGGGTTGAACTGAATTTTCAACCTCATTCGCAGTAGCCAGGAGATTGACGTGGAGCTGGCAGCACCCCAATCCAAGTGCCTTGGCAACTCTAAATCCGACTTCTAACCCCCTCTCCTAAGAGGCTCGTGGGTCTTGTTGGGAAGATTGTCAGCATTGTGGGGGGATGTATGCCCCTCTCACCCCTACAAAATTTGTTCCCGCTGCTATCCATTGTTCTACTTTGGAATTACACAGGGAATGTGTATCATTGGGGAGGTTTTTTTTGGCAAGACGCTCGGATAATGATTCCCTTTGACTCCTCCGCCAATGATGGAGGCCGGCAAATATGTGCGCGAGTAATGGAAATAGTAGTCACCCGCAGCTGTTTTGATGTTGCAACTAGCTGTGCGGGCTTGTGCGAAGCGAAGCGTTTCACTTGAAGCGCCTCTTGTTTAGGTGTGCAGTTCCTTGTATAGCCGAAGCTTGTGGCCCCAGCTCTGCCCAGAGTCAGGGCCTGTTAGGTAGGTTAGGTCCCATGTAGTTGTACGGGTGGTTAGGTGGTTCAGTTGGAGTTTATCGGGGAACTACCAAAGGTACATACGCTACAGTTTGCCCCATAGAATTCATGAGTGAAGCGACCAGGGACTCCAGGAATGAGCAAGCAGGCAGGCAGGTGACAACCGGAACAGTCAAGGTTTCAAGCAAGGGTGAAATTCAAGTGAGGTGCGCAGGTAGTCTGGTTTCGCCAGTTCATGGTCTTGGGTGAGTTTCCCAGTTTTTAGTCCTAGTATAGCGGGTGCGGTGTGAGAACCGGTGAGGACACAAACATTTTGGGGTGGCACATAATGTACCCTAAGCCTTGCAGCAAGCGGAAGCATGAAGATGTCATGGAGTGCCCAGGCCCAGCTGATTGTCAGGCAGTTGGTGCAGACATTCGCTTGAGAGTCTTTTTGGGACAGAGGAATCTTTGCCAAGGAATTCTCTCCTTCATCCTGAAGCAGCTTACACTCCACACCGATAATCAAGAGCCGACATGGTATCGTTAGGGCCGAAGCACAATGCCGTCGGGAGCCATTCCAAACCTTGTTCACCGAGCGCTTCAGTCCAACATCCTACAGGCTTAAAGTAGAAAAAACGTAAATCCTGGAACCTTGAAGCCTTGAATGCCTAGCTCTAAACCAGACAAGCACCGGTACCGGTGAAGGTGCCTCTGGCGCTTTTACATGGTGGCAGTGGCCATCATTGCAACTCATCGGACTCTGCTTTGCTAGTGTTTCCTCTCCTTAGACTTTCATGGCACCATTTTGAGAGGACAATAATCTAAGCGGCCGGTTCCGTAGAGGAGTGTTTGGTTTGCGGTTTCGGGTGCGCAGGTGGGGTTGAATAGGTTTTGCCAAGCGTGTCTGTGTCGAGCACAAGACAGTATAAACAGTTCGAGGTCAGTGGCACCCTCCAAAAAAAGAGTTGTTCTGTTTAAATCCAAGGAAAAGGGCAATTTCTTAGCTTCACAACATCAGAGTGTACCTTTAATTGAGAGGCCTTCGTATACATCAGAACACAGGATCGATCCTCCTTTCAAGATCCCGCCAGATTGGTACCCAGACTTTTGAGAAAGCCATATAATTTCCACGCCATGTTTCCATCATTTGTACTAGAAACTCTCATCGTGAATTTTAGGTCCTAAACTAACTTTCAAGGCGTCTGGCTGCCAGCTGAGCATGTGCATGATGGTTGCTATGTGGAGGTTAATTTGGTATTTAGGATTTTGCACGGGTGTTTCATCGGTCATTGACTTAAGGGAAAGCTCCGCTGCCAAAAGGCACTGGAGTACACCGCCGGTCCGAGCTATGGTCGGTCAGGAAAATCAGGCAGCACTGCAGCAGGAGTTGGCGCAGGCCCAGCTCTACATGGAGGAGCAGCGGAAGCTCACGCGTGGCGCGGTGTACAACGCCCAGCAACGACTGTGGTTCGAGACGCGTCAGAAGAGGGGCCCTCCTTCAACCGCCATGTCTTCCCTGGCCACGCCGGGTGAAACCATGGAGGTTGAGGGCGCGGGATCGGATCCCCAGGCTACAACGCCGGCTACACCGCCAACGCTGTTCCAGCCGGTGCCGCTCGCAACAGAAGCGGCATTTCAGATGACTGCAGCACAGGCCGGTGTCGACATCAACAGCCCGGAGCAGATGCGTACCTGGATGCAGCAGCCGGTTACAACGCGGCAGCAAGTCCTGGAAACCATGCGCAACTATCATGTTGGAGTAATCC